TTACACTGAGGTAGCATACAAAAAGTTCAGCTCCAGCCTCCACCTGTGAACACTACTGCTACTCTCCAGCCTATCTCTACTCTACTCCCATATATAGTATGATCATCGTAGTCCAAACCACATGGAAATACATAGGTATATATATATATATAAACAACCTTCAACTTAACAGCACCATCATCATTCTCAACAGGTTCAGCATACAACATATAACAACACACAGCTCAATCACAGCTACACAACACACTGCACATATACAACTCATATCAACATCAAATCAACACAACAATAGCTTATACGTCGTCACGCATTTCAACTCGGAGATCTCCTACAACATGGGTGAGTAGTTTAAGTGGCTAGGTCCTACCGAACCGACAACAAAGAACCTTTTTGGGCTTGCTAGGTAAACAGCAAATTTGGATATCAATCCACAGCACGATAACTATTTCTCAGACTTTGCCACTTAAACAAGGAAATATAGTACTCGGTTAGGAATTAAGTTCCCGACTTCGTACTTTACTCAAATTGGCCGCTTGTAATCGGTATAGCTCGAACTAGCCCCTATACCGTGGTCGCTTTGTACACGTGTGCCTCGACCTTGCCCACACACGGGACAACACAACTTTCCAAGGGACAACTTTCCAAGGAGGGTTTTCAACAAATTGGGCTCTCTAAGCACCACAGCTATCTCAATCCACACAAATATGGGATGAGTAACTTCGAAAACATCTCCCCTAGTCCTAGTGATCAACAGCTCATCATCACAACTTAATCAGCTTACAACTCAACAGCACAGCTCAGCACAATAACTTAAACAACACACAAATTTTTAACTCAATCATCACAAAGTAATATATTTTCAACACATAGTACAACATACAACTTCCATCTAACAACTTAGCAACATTATCATCATGCCAACTTACACAACCAAAGCAACTTTCAACATAACCAAATCACTCCTTGTGAAATGGAAACCTTCACATAAGACAGCGTATCGGGAGTTATACTACTCCTATCATGTTCATCCTTATCTCATACGAAAGATAAGAAGATTTCCTACAACTCTTATGAAAACATCAAGTCCTAATTCCATCATCTACTTTGTTAAAAATTCTAAAAATCGTAACAGCTATAATCAATGCTGGCAGCTTGACCCCTGTCCACTAAAACATCCATATCTGGAGTTATAGACCTCTTTTTTGGGTGATTCCAGCGCCATTGGAAAGCTAACATCCAAGGCTACAACTTTCATGCAGAATTGAAGACCAACATACTCACGCCCGGCGAATTAATATCAAGCCCGACGCAAACTCAAATAGAGACACGACTCGCTCACTCTGCGCCCGGCGTAGTCTACACAGAGACCTACAGAGGTCTTCGCGCCCGGCGCACTTATCCTACGCCTGGCACAATTCCAGACAGAGACTCTCAATGAATCTCCACACCTAGCGTGCTCAAATCACGCCCGGCGCCATATCAGTAACAAAACACAAGACCCACGTCTGATAGTGCGCCCGACATGGTTCTCCCCACGCCCGGCGTGATTCACCCAGGAATTCCCATTTCAAATCGCGCCCAGCGCGACTAGCCTCGCGCCCGACGTGAAAAGCAATTTTGGTCTCTGATGAATGCACGCCCGCTGCCAAGAACTGCGCCTGGCACAACCTAAAACAGCCAACCCAAAAACTTTGAAAATTTCAACCAAAAACTTGAAAATCAACCCAATCAAACACATGAAATACATTTATATCATACGACTCAAAAACAAGTTTTATTTCAACATGCAACCATCAAACGCATCAAAATCACCATTTTTCCCAATTTTCCCGAAACCCCAAAAATGAACTCTTAAATCCAACCATTAATCCTCCGAATTCAAGCATCATTTGAGTTCCTAAACTCACTTACAATCAATCAACACACAATCTAGCTTCCCTTACCTTGTAAAATAAGAATCCGAGCTCCAGGGAAAAGAAAGAAGAAGAGGAAGAAGATTCGGGCTCTCAACTAGCTCCTTATGCCTCTACTCAGCACCTTCAACCACAACACCACCACAAGGACGCTCAGGAGTTATAGGATAAGAGAATAGGAAATGAGGAGAAAAATAAGAGTGTTGAGGGGAAGGAGGAAGAAGAAGCGGGTGTTACAGGTGGCCCTTTTTTTTTCGGGACTTGAATACACCCCCCCTCATGCCCATGGTGCATGTATCAATGGTGGGTGACCCATTTTTAAGAATCTAGGATAGCTCTGATACCATCTTAGAATAGTAGATTTAAGCCTAACTCAACCCTATAAAACTGGCTTGTAAGGTGAGGGTTGTTTTTCACTTATATATTATTTAATTGCTTAATCTCTAGGCGATGTGGGACTTGAGTTTTTTTCCAATAATTAATGCCATTAGATATGATGTTTTGATTTCGAAGCATAGTAAAAATGATAACTTTTTTGGTCAAATCGGCATAGTATCGTATAATGGAATATATGACTGGTGACTGGTGATGAATCTTTGCATGAACATGGTGATTTGATGAAAATTGGAATTTAAAATTTTCACAAAAGATGAATTTGTTGACGTGAAGAGTGATTAAGGATTGTCTTCCAAGCAGGAGCAAATTATACTTGGAGGATGTGCAATATCTTTAACGTGTTCTTTTTGTGAGAATGATGTTGAAACTAATATTGGTATATTTTTATTGTTTGTGAATATGCTTGCAAGTTTGACAACATTATAGTATTTGTATGTATGCTTTGGACAATTTGGCAGAGAAGTGATGAGCATGTGTGAAAAGAATTTGCAAAAACCAATTCTTGTCTCTTGTAATTTTGCTTCACGAGATTTTCGTGAATGGAAATTGGCTAAATCTAAATGCAATCATGTTAACCATTCTTCATCAATAATAAATGTTAGTACCAGCTAGGATACCATAGAGTGGCAATTTTAAATGCAATTTAGATGCTGCCTTGTTCATTGACACATTTTAACATAGTTTTGTTGCTTGTATTCGTAACCACAACGAAAATTTTAAATATGAAAAAATAGGTTGGTCAGGAGGATTCTCACCCAATGTAGTTGAAGTTCCATTACATGAAGTAATAAATAAAACGGGTGTTGGGGATAAATTTATCACATGTCATTTTCAAATCAGACTTCAAACAAGTGGTAAATACTTTTAACCAAAATTGTTTCTTAAACAGTTAGATGAGAGCCATTTTGAAGGAATGTAGACATGATTCTTCCTACATTCAGAACTTTTGTATCAACGACTTATTGAATTAAAATAAATAATTTTAATAAAATTTATTTTTATAAAAAAATTAATACAAAGATAATTTAAATTGACTTTATATATAAATTTAAAAGGCAAAATAACATAATTATTAAAGTTGATGTAGTGGTAAGAAATAAAATAATATACATAAAGTTCAAAGTTTAATTTGAACACGGTGCTCAAGGTATGAAATGTAATATTTTGACTGAAATTTTCGTTTTGTTATCTTACAAGGTATTTTTATTATATATAAAAATATATAATAATATTTAATCTAACAAAGAAAATATATTTTTATTATAACTTTGTAATAATATTTTTTTTTATATTTGTTATGTTACATAAAGAAATAATTCAATATTAAAATAGTTTAAAGAAAAAAACTTTCACCCATTCCCTCATGGTGTCTTCTCCTCTCTCATGTAACCAAAACCAAACATGAAAATACCCTCTCTCTTTCTCTCTTTTTCTCACTTCCTACTCGAACAACTACTAAAATTTATTCTTCGATTCTTATCAAAGAAGGAAGGATTTTAATATTCACCACATGTTAATGTAACCAATTGAGCCACAAACAAAGACTATTGATATAACAATAAAATATCAAATAAGTTGAATGGTACATATTATTTCTTACACCTTTATTTTACAATTTATAAGAATAAATGAATTATGTCTATCCTTCCGATCTTTTGTCAAGAGAGTCCTCATCGAAAAAGTTTATACGAGAGTGCTTCGACTTAATATCTATGTCTTTTATATTTGAGATTGATGGACAAGTGTATCCTTCCAATTTTTTGTCGAGAGTGCTTTGTTGAGACAACATAATCGAGTGTTAATTTGGTTGAGTATCCCACCACTCATACCCTTATATCTAAAATAGTTAGGCATTTATCTGATTAGAGAATCTCATGTTTAAAACAATTTGACATTAGACCCCATATTCAAAGTAGCTTGATATTTATCTGACTAAAGACCCCATATATCCAAAACAACTTGACATTTATCCAACCTAAGACCCATGTATCAAAAATAGTTCGACATTTATCCGACTTGAGATCCACATGTGGCACAAAATCTAATCATCAATACTATAATTGCATACCAAAATATAATATCCAATAACAGGTGAATTTCTATAAAATCCTATGATACTCAAGACCTATAAAGACATAGTAGTTAGATATAAAATCCTCATTTTAGGACAAAAGCAAAAGGAATACACATTTGAATGATCTACCTTTAGACAAGTGGTTAGGTTGCTTCTAGTAGATTTTCCATACTAAAACATGTAGCATTGGTGACCATGGATTGGTCATGTTATGATTTTTAGTTTGAATTTTTTAATATAAACCATTTCAATATTAGGATATTTAAGTCATGTTATTTCAATTATTTTTTAATTGCAATTTTAAAAGTAAAGAAAGGTGGTAAATAATTAAGCAACATTATGTCATAAACAAGTAGAATTTTGTTGAGGTAAACTTAAAATAAAATGCTTTTCATTAAATAACTTATGTTTGAAATAACTTTTTTTAATGGATCACATGTTATCATGAACCACACTAGGGATTTATAATTTTTACCTTTAGAATGTACTTTAAGAACTTTCATTGAATAATATTTGTTTGTGTGAAGGATCAATAATCCTTGATCATCAAGTACCAAAAGGATGATATCTCAATTGAGAAGTGTAAATTCCAGTTTTGGCCTTAAACGGGAATATTAGACATGAACAGCACTTAAAACTTAAAAGCAAAGGGTGAATACTGAATGGCATGTGCGGTGAGCATAATAATACAGTATATGATTATATTCCTTTGTCTAAGTAAGCTAATATTTGAAAGAGGCCAGTGGCAGTAGCATATATGTCAAGACTCGAGAGTACCCGGTGCCCTATCATTTCACGGTCACACTCTCCCATACAAATACAAACAAGAATCCCCCGACAGCTAGAGAATATGACAACCCATCTATCTAACCCTGTACACTCAAACCACCAATTTAATTGCCTAATTAACCTAACCTTCATTAATCCCACGCTCCAACACACCATTTTGTCCCATAATTTACAAACTCAAACCATGCTTAATTAACACCTTAATCACACTATTATTTTTCTTTCCTTTTCAAGCAACACTGATGATGCTATCCCCACCACCGCCGAACTTCCCTCCAGAAATCGCCTCAAAAGCCCCCGCCGACTGCTCCTGACTCGACAACGCCGCCGCCGGAGAAGCTTTCTCTTTCAGGTTCAAATTAGCCATCTTCGAAGACGGAGGCACCGGCAAAATCGGCGTCGGCCTGATCGGCTTCGCTACTCTCTCACCACTCACCGGAGCCAAACTCATCGGAAAAACCGCGCCGGGGAAACCACCGTAATGCGACGGCGGATATGCGGCGGGGATAGGCGCCGCCGCTGTTTCTTGCTGAACTTGCTCTTCTTCCATTATAGTAGAAGACTCCATAACCTAAAATCCCAAAATAAAAACGAATCAAATTAGATCTATAAGTAAAGTCATAACAATAAGTGAAACCTTAGCTCTGAAGCCTAAACACGATATATAATAAGAAAATGAAATGAAAAGTACTGTATCGGTGGTGATGTCGAAAAGGCTAGATCTCCGGCGACGGCGGTTCTGATTGTGGCGGCGGAGGAAGTACTTCTGAGCATGACTAGCAACCTGAGTGGGCGTTCGAGTCTTGACGAAGTTTCTAGAAATTCCTCTCCAATCTCCTTTTCCGACTTTGTGCAACCCTAACAGGAACAACCTGTGCTCTTCCTCCGTCCAAGGGACACCTTCGTTCACCAATCCAAACAATTAATCAATTAATAATCCAAACAGCGCCTAATCGGCTGTCAATGAGTTAGTTAGTTAGCAGTTACCTCGCTTGCGGTCGCGCGTGCGTGCGGAGGCGTGAACGACGTCGTCGGAGGCGTAGCCGGCGTCGGCGGCGTTGGAGTCGTGGTCGTACTGGGAGAGGTTGTTCATGCTGGCGCTCTTCCTGAAGGAGGAGCTAGGTTCGGTGAGTCGCACGCCGAAGAGCATGAAGCCGTTCTCCCTGGGAGAGGCGGCGCCGCCGTCGGTGCATGTCCGGGAGTTGTGGCCGTTGTTGCCGCAGTGTGAGCACGTGCGAGACATCTCCACAGTTAGCAGTTAACAGTCCATGCAAGAAAAGAGAAAAGGAATATATAGATGTGAGTTTGTGTTTGGAGAGAAAGCGAAAGAGAGTTGGGGGAAGATTGAATCATATATAGAGGGTGCTTCGGGTAGGGTTTATTGGTTTCAGCATTGAGTTTAACTCATGTGAGTGTGTGCCGTACGGTGAAGTTACTAGGGTTACTAGCTATGCCTGTGGGGTGGGAAAGATACTGTGTTTCGCACTTGCAATTATGGACGTGGATTGTTGTCCTCGAAGTATTGGTGATGCTGTTTCGTTCGGGAGACAGATTCCATCAATCGGGACCGTCCAATTTTCTCTACTCCACTCTAAACGTGTGTCCTACGTTCGTTTACCATTTAATGTCCCATAATAATTATGGACACACTTCCAACATCCAATAGGGAAAGCAAAAACTCCTTTCCACACCAGCAAAAAAACAAAATAAATGAACTCATGCAATATAAAAATTTCAAAATTAAGCAAATTGAAGAAAATTTTAAATATCATATCAAATGTACTCCGACAGTATTATTATTGTTAACAGAAATATGTGGAAATCACTTTGGTCGATTGGAGTTTGGACTCTGGAGAATCAAAATACTATATACCAAATTTTATGCTTGGTTGAATAAAGAGAGAAGTGCGAAAGATAGAAATAAGATTGAAACAAGTGGGAGAGAGGAGAGGATGGGTAGAAAATATAAATTTTTAAAGTGTTTGAAGTAAAGATATAAAGAGAAGTATAATAGAAAATAAATTGATTTTTTTTTCTGTAGGATGAATAGAAAAGTAGAAAGAAAGAAAATGATTTTTTTAAAAAGACATTTTGTCCTTAACTTATGAGATAGAAAAATACTAATAAGGTTAGAAATAAAATTTTATGTGGGTCTCACGTATTATTAAAAAAAAAATCTACTTTTCTTTTCATCTCGAAAGAGATTATTATGTTTTGAATAAGTCTCACTCAAATATTTTCTTTCTTCTCTTGTTTTCCATTTAAAATTTTTTTTAAGAATTTAACTATTAAAAAGTACTTTTCATTTTCGATAGAAAAATTCATTCAAACAAACTTTATATATCATATATATTCAACTAGAGAAATCGAGAGAATTACAAATGTATAATAAAATAAATGATGTGATAAAAAATAGTAAAAAATAAAATAAAATGTATCAATTATATATATTTATTGAATGTTTATATATTTTTACTCTATTATTATTTTAAAAAAAATCCATTAAAAAGTTATATATTTTTAAATGATTTTTTTGTCATTATATCATTAGTGTAAAATATCTATCAATTTTCTTAATATTTTTTTTCTAAAAATACAATCGTCTACTTTTAGTGTGATCTTTTATTCCATTTTTTTTTTTTTTCTATTTCCAATACTCAAACATGAGATTTTATTTCAAGAATTTGAGTCCAATACTATTAGGAATAGATTTTTTCTATTTTCTATACACTGTATACTGGTTGTTAGTTAGTTTTTATTTTCTGTTTCTAATCCTTGTATAAATTGTTAAACTCTTGTGTATTTTCAGTTGATCAGTTGATCAATGAGCAAATACAGAAATCTTTCACAATTTTCTGTTTTGTGATTTTTCTCCCAAACGCTAATATTATTATATTTATCATATAATTTAAAAAATGAAATTTAAATATGATGTCAGAAATATTTATGATATTATTTTTGATTAAATTTTAGTGTGTTACTTTTCCGTTTCATATTATTCATCCCTGTTGCCTGTTTTAATTTATTTTGGAAAAACCATACAAATTAAGTAATAATTGTTTTTTCACTAATACTTCCACGTATTATTACTTCACCCAAATACTTAAATTATTTTATCTTATTTTTATTTAATTAAATAAATAAATGACATAAAAGATATGATTGATTCTCAGTGTAATAAAATTTTACAAGATGATTAACTCTTAATATATTTTTAGAAATATAACAATATCTTAAAAGACAGACAATTAGTAAGAAACAAATAGATCGAGTATATATTTTGACGGAAGTACTACTAACACGTACATAGTACTGAATTTAAATTTTATCCAATTTTTTTTTATTTTCTTAGTTGCTTTACAATTCTTTTACGCGTTTCCTCTTAATAAATATATCTGTTTATAACGAATCATATAAACTATTAAGATAACAGTGTTGGGGAAGGGGACGAAAACTCTAATTTGATTATCGCATAAATATGTTTGAGGGGAGTGAAGAACTTTGATTAAGTTTTAGACCAATAATTAATTTCGTAACCAATTCAAAATATCGAATTTTATTGAAATGCTTTGAAATCTTGTAGACAGTCAAAAGTCGTAATTAAAAAAACAAAAAAAAAGTCTGAATGAAGTAGTATAAAATATACGAAAGTGTCGACTATTATGACTCCAAAATATATCTAGCTAAGGAAAGGCTAGGTCTTCCAAATAAAGGGGTTCTTGTTAGGTGTACGTAGAGTCGTAGAGTGTGAGTGTAGGCAGGGATCAAGTGTGGAGTATATATGAGGCATGTGCAAGTGATTGCATCGCATTCACAGGCTATAAATTATGATTGACCTCATCAAAACTATGGGTACAAAAACCTAACAATCATGAAACCCTAAACTCACAACATTAAGAAACTTAATTAAATAGTATCTTTCATCCACTCATCCTTGACGTTGAAAGTTGTTAATTGGTGGGAAATGTCAGCGTACGTGTTAATGGAAAACAACATAGCTTTTCCAAAAGCAATGAACTATAAATATTTAATGAGTAATGCAATCAAACAATATATACTTTAGAAAAACAAAAGAAAAAGAGGGGATGGTGGAGAATGAGGGTGTGGCTGCACCGTGAATTGGGCATATTCGCTGTTCCCTTTGATAAAGATTTGGTTGTCTCGATCGTACGTTTTAAATATGATAAGCATTTTGCCTTTGGTTTAATAATCGTCCAAAGTTGTGGGTGTGGTCGTATGCTTGCATAGGATAACCAAGGGTGGGTCCCACTCGTCACCTACACATCTTTCTATTCACCTCACCCTTTCTTTGTGGCTCTCCTGCTGACTCGTTGCTAATGGTGGGTGTGTGTGTGGTTGGCACCTTTTTTCAGAGCTTTCAAGTTTTCAACTTTGATAAGGTATCAATGGCGTTGAAAGTTTAGTGCTATCATTGTGTGTTTCAGTACAAAAAGTCAAATAAAGTCGCCTAAAATAACAATATGTTAAATGAATCACTGCTAGCTAAATAGTGTAATTACTCTTTTATTAAAGTTGCAAGCAACTTCTTTACAACAAGTAACATTAATGTTGGATTTCCCTCATTTAATTTATACAAGTTCTTTTATATCCTCTTTTTTTTTTCTTCTGAATTTCGTGTAGAGCAAACACCACGTGCTTGATTAATACTCCACTTTGTTTTTCTTTTTATTAGCTTAAAGTAGTTGAAGATCGACTATATTAGAGCAATGAAAGATATTGAGACATATCATTTTATTTTCTTTTTGTTTAGCTAATTATCTCCACTAATGACCATTTTTTCATTAAACTTCTAATTCTAAAAAATTGATTTCCCACTTTTCAGCAAGAGAAGATTTTTAAGGAATAAAATAAAAATACAAAAGCCAAGCCTAATAAGGTAACATCTTTTATAGAAGTGCAGAAAGCCATGAATTAATCTATGAGCATATTAATCTAGATACGTCATCCTCTTAGGCATCGAAATAAATGCCCATGGACATCGATTTGAATATATTGCTTTCTGTTGCAGGAGGAATTGAGGATGGTATACACACATCAATCACATCTTGGACATGAACATAACCCTCATAAAAATTAATGTAAAGCATCAAAATTCTGGATTTAAAATGATTGATGTTTAAGGCTAATATATAAATATTAAGAAACATTTAATATTAATTTATTTTTTAAATAGTATATCCTAAAACATTCTCATTTTATATCTATTATAAAAATAAGTTAGATGAAATTATTAAATAAAGATATATATATAT